TTCTGAATTGAGTGAAGGTTTACAGAGCAAATCATCAGCTTTACATCTAGCAAATCACACACTTTGTTTCATCTTAGTGATTGCAAGCTCCACCATGCAACAACAGTTATCCCGCTTCCTCCCTATGATTCTTATTCCCATTCTACCCACTCTTCCTGCCCCTCTGAACTTTGTCCCAGGTAAATGTTACTGTTTTGATCTTGAATGATTAACCTTTTCAGGGTGAACATACGCACTACTGTTGGTGCTTCATTCCTACCCCTCCATATACAGATCCACTGCTTGGTTGACAATAGGGCCACAAGCATGAATTCTGTTCCAGACCTGAAGGTTGGCGGGAAGCCATAATCTTTGGTTCCTCCAGTCTCATTTTAACCAATAAGCTGGTCTTTTTTATGATTCTGTATTTTGTTCCACATCGTTTCCCATCCTATCAGGGACCTTCTAATGTGATCCCTTTTAAAGCAGGAGGTAGTGGTAACCTGCACCATCTAGTTCTTTTGGTTTCAAGGTCATGGAAACTGATGTTGTATAACTCTTCCTAAGTATGCTTGGAATTTCTTACACAGGATTCAATAATTTAAGTAATAAAAAGGCCCTATCTATTCACACTGAAATTTCTCTCTGTGCTTCTGCAATAACATTAATAAATTAAGCAATGTTTTCTCATCTCCATGCCAATATTAGTTAGTGTGAAAACAACATATTACTCATATCATTAAAGCTGTTTCCTTCTAGAAGGCAAAATATGTATTGTGGTGCATATTTAAAGCAGATTACACTCAAGTACTCTCTAGGAATAGAGCTAGATTGTAAAACCAAATCACTTTAGAGCACGTATTGATTCTGGTAGATGCCATACTGTAAGATGAATGACGTTGTTTTTCCTGGTTACATAAGGTAGCTTTATGGTATGACTAATTACAAGTGCTTTCCTTGATTAAATGCTGCAAAAGTTAACTGTTACTTTGTAAGAGGTTGTGGTTCGAGTGAGTGTAGATAGAAGTCACCCTTCTGTGTCTCAAAAGAAGATGATGCAGTGGCATCACTAGGAGGACACGGGCCTTGGGTCAGAAGGGTATTTGACCTTACCAGGTAACACTATGCAGTGTTTCTGGAGAAGTTTATTATTTTTTATTAAACTATCCCTGTGGTGGTGGTAGTGGTGTGCCTTCAAGTCGGTTCAAACGTATAGCAACCCTGTAAAAGGTTTCCGAAGCTGTAAATCTTCATAGGAATGGCGGAGTCACTGATAGAGTCCGACTGCTAACATTGCAGTTCACAGCGCAGTGAGTAACCACCATGCTTAGGGACTCCTATCTCTGTAGTTAGTTAGAATAACGAAGACATTTTCACTGGCCCAGCTTACATGTATCAATATACCTATAAGGCTGGAACTCTATGCTAATTTGCTTTATAAATCATCTAATGTACTCAGGCCAGAGCTGTAATTATTACCCAATTGCAATGGTGTTTCCAGTCACATGCCCTCGTCTGTTTCTTCTACAAGCAGGCACTGTTGGTGTCACTGCTACTGGTGTTTTTACAGTCACTGATTTTGTCAAATTTTCAGGTGTTTTAACATTTATGAATATATATCAATAACTTTTTGAAGATTGAAGTTGTCATTAAAGAAAAAAAAGAGAAAAAAAAATGTTAACTCACTAACAATGGAATAAAATGTAGACGGATATGACAGCATATTTTTTTGTTAGTATTCATATGATCTGACAAATATTTGGTTTAAACCACTTGTAACTATCACACATTGTTGTGTGATTAAATTTGATGGTAAAATCATTGAGCATACTGTACAGGAAGTGGTTCACAGGAATGGGTGCTGTGGTGTGAGGTTTGACACCGTGGGTACCACACTGGGTGACAACAACCGTAATGTCACCATCGAGATAGTGTAGACTAGATTTGTAATGAGGATATGATTGTTGAGAAATTCACCAAATGTCAATTGTGTAAAATCCTGGTCTTCTGCATGCTCCTTTACTGAAAGGACTGTTCAAAAGAATATGAGCTGAAAGCAATGCTGGCACGTTCTGCACTTTGTGTGATGGCTCCAGAAATTCAAGAGTTTTATTTGAGAATGTTTTAGACTTGGACATGAAAGATTTCATATATTTTAATAGAACTTTAAATGGAGCATGTCTTTAAAACACTGAGTGCTAAGTTAACATCCAGTGAAATATGGATATGAGAAATGGTTCTTTGTTTCAAATGGGGGTGAAATAAAGGCAAGGCAAAGCAGTTTGAGTTTATGCTCTGACTAATGGTAACCCCAAAAAGGAAAGCTCACTTTATTGTTGTTGTTGTTGTTAAGTGATGTCGAGCCAGTTCCCACTCATAGCAACCCTGTATTGGGTTCCTGAAGAACAGCTGGTAAGCTTGAACCGCCAACCTTGTGGTTCAAACCAACCTTGCAGTCCATCACATTAGCCCACAGCGCCACAATAAGCAAAACCCGAAGGAGAGCCCTGTTATAGTTTTCTTGTTTTCAAACAAGAAAATCTTGAAGGTTTTAAGAGGAAAAAAACAAAAGGAAATATTTTTAAGATACCTTTGTTATTATTTTGATTTTATAAATAAAGCCCTACCTACCTATCTATCGCCACTGAGTTGATTCTGACTCATAGTGAGTCTGTATAGGGTTTCAGAGGCTGTAAATCTTTTCAAGAGCAGAAAGTCTTGGCTTTCACCCACGGAGCAACTGGTGGGTTTGAACTGCCGTCTTTGAGTTTATCCGTGCAGAGCTTATAAATAAAACCTTGAGCAGTTGGAAATTAAACCAAATTATTCCATGATAAGAGCTGAAAGAAGGTGGAAGGAAGTCAGAACTTAACTCCTACCATCTTACCTCATGTCAATCTGGAACCGTATAGGACTGACTCTATAGCTCAATTATACATTTTGTTCATTGAGATGAGTATGAAGGGCAAACAAAACAGTTATTTTGCCCCTCATTTGATGTGACTGTTATAGAAGTCTTTTTTTAATTGTTGTTGGTATTATGTGCCGCTGGTCAGTTCCAGTTCCTGTTGTTGTTAGGTGCCGACAAGTTGGTGCCGACTCATGGCGACCTATGCACAACAGAGCTAAACACTGCTCCGTCCCTCCTGCACCGACTCATGGCGACCTATGCTCAACATAGCTAAACACTGCTCCGTCCCTCCTGCACCAATCTCACAGTTGTTGCTATGCTTGAGCCCATTGATGCTGCCACTCAGCAATCCTCTGTAGGGTCTGGTGGGTTTGAACAACCAATTAATAGCCCAGAATCTAAATATTATGTATTTTTAAAGTATCTTTATTTTCCTGCTATCTTGTCTGGTTTTATGTGCTATAGTAACTGTTATATAAAATGTATTTTTTCCTTAGTACTTTAGGAAATTAACTTCTGACATTTTCCTTTCCCTAGGAGCACTGAATCCAAAAAATTGGGGGAAGAAGTATCCAACATGTAATAGCCCCAAGCAGTCTCCTATCAATATTGATGAAGATCTTACACAAGTAAATGTCAATCTTAAGAAGCTTAAATTTCAAGGTTGGGATAAACCATCCTTGGAAAACACATTCATTCATAACACTGGGAAAACAGGTAAAAAATTTGGTTCTCTTTGTGAACTTTAATATGTTTTAAAGAACTAAAATGTGTTTCAGTTAGTTTCATCACATGCTTCTTCAAATATTATAAAATAAATAAAGAATAATATTCTTTATATATAAGGGAATAAAGAATACTGGGAATACAGACAGTATTTTGAAAATCTGTACAAGAAATAAAATGATCAGAGTCATTATTTCATTATTTCATTCTTGTGATGTGTAATTATTCAAGATAAATATTAATGATATTTGTAACAATAATCCACTAGCAGATGTGATGAAGATAATACAATATCACATAGCAAATGCATTTTAATAACTCCATTACTGGTCAGTTACTTAGTCAATCAGGATTTGTTTTTCTTAGACATTCATTTTAATCCTGTCGACTCAGCTTCATTCTGTATTAAATATTTGGATATGAAAGAAGTAATAGACTACAGTTGATTTTTTTTTTAAGTTTTTATTGTGAATTGAGTGAATGTTTACAAGGCAGATCATCAGTTTTACATTCAACAAATCATACACCTTGTTTCTACAATTGGTTTTTAAGAAAGAAAATTACTAGAGATTCTATATGTTGTTGTTGTTGTTAAGTGCCGTCGAGTTGGTTCCGACCCATAGCGACCCTGAATAGAGATTCTATATAGAAAGTTTAAAAATATGGGTATCCCTAGGAAGCATGCTCTAAGTGCCTTTTTTAAATGATGCCTTTAAAAAATAACCTGAGATGATGATGTGGAGCTATGGAGCAGCTGGAGACTCTAGACCCAGAGAGGGAGAGCGACTGTGTGCTGAAGACCTGGGGGGCACGGGGGAAGGATTGCATGGAGCGGATTGTAACCATGGCAATGAGATGATAGATAGAATGAATGTAAAACTAATGTTTTCCCATGTATACTATCACATAATTCACAATAAAACATTTAAGAAGAAAAAAAATAATAACCTGAGAAATATAAGGCCACAAGCAAAACAAAACCAAAAGAAAAAATGTATTTGACAGTGAACACTTTTTCTTTTTTGAAATCTATTTCAAGAAAAAAATATATGTATTTTGTTAAGTTGGACAAAAGCAAATGCAATAAAATATTAGAAAAAATATTCAAAATTATAATAGTAGTTATGTCTGGGTGACTTTTGCATGGGTGAATTTTTTAATGTTTCTAAATTTATGTAGTAGTTATTTCAATGTAATTAATTTTGAGTTCCATGAAGGTAGACAATTTTTCTGCATGAGCACTTGACATAAAAAGATATTATTCCAAGTGCTAACATTTTCTTGACCTGTGTAAAAGGGTGTGGCCATCGATCAAACATCTGTTTTTTTTAGTGTAATGTGCTTCACCCTTGAGCAGTAAACCCACACTGCTAGAGATTACGTGTGTGACTTTGAGCAAGTTACATCACCTCTCGTGAGTTAATTAATTTATCTGTCAACCTTTTAGGGTTATGTTGTTATTGTTGTTAAGTGTTGTCCAGTCAGTCCCCATCCACAGCGGCCCTGTGTAGGGTTTCCAAGGCTGTACATATTTGCAGAAGCAGAAAGCCTCATTTTCTCATGCGTCTGGTGGGTTCAAAGTACTGACCTTATGATTCACAGTCCAGTACTTACGGTACAGAGATAGGAAGATCAAATCATTAATACACCAAAAATATTTAATGTAGTTCTTGGCACAATATGAGTAGTGGATAACTGTTGACCATTATCGATACCATTTTTTTAAATTGATGTCATCACTATTATTATGAAAAATGGAAGTTTATATCCTCAACTGGTAGGCCACTGTGTTGGCTTTGGTGACTGATAGCAACAGTGTTTTTGCCTAATGGAACAAAAACAACTTAAATCTGATTGAGAGACATCAAAATTTTACAGTAGGCAGATTCAAGAGAATCATTGATCCAGATGACTCATAAAATATAGTCAGATCAAATCTGCTATAAAGGAGCTGAAGAGTCTGATGTCTGTCACCCAGAATTCAAATGTGAGATAGCTAAAACTCCTCTGATATGAATGGGTTTTCTACCTTTTTTGTCAGAGTCTAGGATAGAGGTTTTGAGTTAGAGCTTGATGAAGCCAGAGATGAATCTTGGAGGATTTGAGGATATGGGTGAAAAGCAGCAGCCGGATAGGAAGCAGAGATGAGCTGAAAGGGAGAAGACGGCGCTTATAGACAGAAGATTTTTCTTCTTTCTGCCCTTCAGTCCCTCCTCCCTTTACTCTTTCCTCCTCAACTATCCTAAGGAAGCAGAGTTTGGGGACAGTCATGAACTCAAGATGCCAAACAATGCAGGGCAGGTAGACTTGCACCCTTCTGCTGCTAAAGTCATTCAGCAAGTTAAGGTTTTGGATAAGTTTACATATGTGGAACTAAGGCACATTCTGGGTAGTAGAAAAGGTTAATGGGCACAGATGCTAATAGAAAGGTTGAAGGTTCAAATCCACAAGAGGCACCTCTGCAGAAAGGAAGAGTTGGTTCTGTAAATCAACCATTGAAAGCCCTTTGGAGCACAGTAGTTCTACTCTGACACATACAGAGTTACCATGAGTCACAACCAACTTGATGGCAACTGGTTTTTTAAGGCTAGCACAAAACTATGAAGTTCAGCTTCCAAAATTGCAAGTTAGTGATTTTTTTTAACTTATCAAATGAATGACTTAGATAGAAGGAAATTAGTTGAAACTTCAATTTTGATTTTTTTTTTTTTTAGAAACTAAGATGAAATCTTTTTGTTATTTTAGTGGCAATTAATCTCACTAATGATTACCGTCTCAGCGGAGGAGCTTCTGAAATGGTATTCAAAGCAAGCAAGGTAGCTTTTCACTGGGGAAAATGTAATGTATCGTCTGAAGGATCAGAACATAGTTTAGAAGGACAAAAATTTCCACTTGAGGTAAGTCATTAGCTCCACTGGTTACTATTTAATTTTCTTAAAGCATTTTATTTTTATTTAGCATATGACTTGCTTAATTTAGAATGCAAATTTTATAATTTATATAGTTATATTTTAGAAAATTAATATTAGTTTTTCTCACAAGACTACCCATCATGAGGAAAAGACTAATCTCTGATTTTTGACTCCCTGGCAAAGTGCCACATATGGTGATGAATAAGTGATTAATGTTGATGAAAATAGGCAAAATAAATACAACCATAATAATGAAATTATTGTAATAAATAATGAAAATGAAACAAATACTTTCATGTATGTCTCGAGAGAATGGATTTGCATGTATTTATCAAAGTTTTCAATGTGTATCTTTTCAATACTCTTCACTTCAATTTGTAGCAATTTAGTATAAAGAAAGCCTTATATGCAAAGATTTATTTACAATACTAAAAGAATGAAACAGAAGACAATGATTAAATGTATGATGATAAAATGTATTTGTTGTTGTTAAGTGCCATCATGTCTGTTCTGACACTGCATAGGGTTTTCAGCGTTCCTGATGTGACATTGTGGGATAAAGTACCCAACCACAAGGTTGGTTTGAACCACAAGGTCAGTGATTCAAACTTACCAGTCACTCCTTGGAAACCATATACAGGGTCACTGTGAATCAGAACCAACTAGAAGGCTCTTAATAACAGCAACAGCATAAGGTTTCCAAGCAGCAGTTGATGAATTTGAACCACCATCTTGGGGTTAGCAGTCCATTGCTTATCCTATAGTGCCACTCATATTTTTAAGTGAATATTTATTAAAAAAAAAAAAAGATTCATCATAAAATATTGTTTTTATTAAAGTGGCATACACAGTTTCATTTTGCAGTTTTGTGAAAAAACACCAAAACTAATTAAATAGTATAGAATCCAAGTCAGGTGGACTAAATTTGAATGCTGACTCCACCTTTTTGTTTTTAGTTATATGACATGACATTATACAAAATATGTAATTTACTTAAGTTTTTGTGTTCTCTACTATAGCTGGCCTACCTTGTAAAGTTATTGTGAGGATTAAATGAGAGAGTGAATTGTTATTATAAGATAATTGAAGAAAGTGTTAAAAGTAATTATTGGTGATGGCATTATGTTGGTGTTAAGTACTGTTAAATTGATTCTGATTGATAGCAACTCTGTATAGGGTTTCCAAGGAGCAGTTGGTGGGTTTGAACCACTGAACTTTGGGTTAGCTGTTCAGTGCTTATTCTACAGAGACACACCAGGATGGCATGATGGATGTCTTTCATTTTCTACTTGAAAGTTTCTTATCGTTTCTAAATTACATATACGGAAACTTCTTTACATTCATAATCCTCACCCCACTGATCAGTTTTCAGCCAAAAACAGGTCTATGAGGGGCACAATAGCTCTAACGAAGTTTGCACACCGTACAATCCTAGTGGTTTGAGATCAAAACAGCAACAGTTTTTTTAATGTTCTCAGAGATTTTCTTGCCATATCTTAATTATACTTTTAGGTAGCTGAGTGATGTGATTTCTAAGCAAACATAAGGAGACTCATCAAATTAGAAGTATGAATGTGGTGTTGTTTTTATTAGGTGCTACCTGTTAATTTTTGAATCACAGTGACGCTGTGTTGTAGAGTAGAACATTTCCATCAGGTTTTTGTGGTTAAAATCTTTAGAAGACTCCCAGACTTTTCTCCTTCAGAGTGAGTCCCTGGTTTGGTTTGAACAACACACTGTTTGCTTAGCCGCTGAACATTGAACTGTTTTTGCCAGAGGGCTCCTGACAGGTGACAAGAATGATTGTTGTGGGCATACATGGACTGAAGCAGAAATTAACAAGGGCTGGCCTCACAGCAGAAGAGGAAGCTTAAATACAAACTTGGAATGAACTTTGTCTTGGGTAGAAGCAATCAGCCCTTGAGAGTTTCAATATGAATACAGAACAATGTAATAGAGTTTTACTTTTAATATAGAACAATATAATGATGTTCAAAAGCGGTAACTCAGAGTTATCAAGAAAGGCATATAATTCAAGAAAGAATGAAGTCCATATTTGAAAGGATTTTAGCAAAATATTAAAATAGTATTTGGTAGCCTAGAAAAATGCTTTCTATTTCAGTGTTCCCTGGTAACTTCAAAGTGGTGATTTGGGTTCTATATATGTCTGACTTAAAGAGAATAAAACATTCGCTTGTAAAGACTAAAATTTATAGTCTTGACAATTTATATTTCCTTCCCCATCAACAGACAACAAATGATAGCAAATGTGTTTATACGCAGACAATTGATTAAAATTTTTGGAAAAATATAGAATTTAGAACTATACATTCTATAGAATTGTCTAATAAAATGTATTGAATTGCTTCTTTTATTATCTTTGCTGATTTTTATGAACTCTTTATATATAATAAAACCTCATTGCTACATTTTCAGATGCAAATCTACTGCTTTGATGCAGAGCGGTTTTCAAGTTTTGATGAAGCAGTCAAAGGAAAAGGGAAGCTAAGAGCTTTATCCATTTTATTTGAGGTAATCAGTATATAGTTTTTGTACTGGCTTTATTCTTGTTTCTATCCCATGAAATGTTAGTGTAAAATATCAAGACAAAATTATTAATAAATAGAAGACCTCACCATTGGAATGATCTCTTGTTTATATTTAAAAAGGGACGATTGGGTTATTCACTTTCGTAGGTCACTTTCAACTGGAGCCAACTGTTCTACTAGTCCACAGATTGGCTTCTTTATACATTCAATGTATTACAATCATAGAGCAGTAACTGTGAATCAGAACCTTTCAACATTCTGAAGTGGATATGTGTAAGCTATCTGGGTTTTGATTATTTGTGTTGCATTGTTTTTAATCTAGCTGTGAGGGGGCAAACAGAGCATTTTGAACTTAATACTTTTGAATAATTGAAATGAATGTAGGCATCAGTCTTTGCATTTGTGTTGACTAGTTAGCACAATGTTTTATCCTGTTTTTATAACGTCACTATTCTTTAACAGGTTGGAATAGAAGAAAATTTGGATTACAAAGCAATTATTGATGGCGTTGAGAGTGTTAGCCGTTTTGGTAAGTTCACTGAAGACATGTCTTTCTTCAAGATTCTCGTTTGGAGGCATGTGGGTTTTTACGACATTAAAAAAAAAAAAAAAAACACTTCCAAAAGAAGGAAGTGACTACACTTTTTAAAAGGAGCAATCTCTCACTGCCTAGGCTTCATGGTTTGCCTACCTCTCACTAAACAATAAGTCATCAAAATATTTGTCACATAAAAGCTTAATGGTGTTGTTGCTAAGTGCTGTTGAGTTGGTTCCCACTCATAGCAGCTGATGGGTTTGAACTGACTGCTTTGTGGTTAGCAGTCAAGTGCTGATCCTACAGCACCATATTTGGAGTCTAACATGTTAATATAAGTAGGGAATTTAAGTTTTTTGATTTTTTGGAGAACACTCTAGTTAGCTCATTCATTTAAAATGAATTTTTCTATTCTGTCTTGTCATTGTGCATTTCTGCATCCTTTAAGACTAACATCTAATATGGAAGCAGTAATTTGTTAAAAACTTATGTTTTTTTCAAAAAAGAATTTTTTTACCGAAGGTAAAATATATTCCTTGGTGGTGCTCTTGATAAATCCTTTGCTTTAGCTGTATGAGGAAATAGGATTCTTGGGGAAAGGTGGATGCCCACATAAACAAGATGAAATGTGCTTTGGTCCTGCACTGCTAGGCATTTCACGGCTTTTGTCATTTGTTACAGCAAACGTTTTTGACAACATTGCCAATAGACTGCAAACATGTTATTATTGTGATTTTATTTTTGTTAAGTACCCACATGCAAGAGTACTAAAACTACCCTGAGTTATCAATAAAATGAAGATTGTTACTCTCCTGGAAGCTATAAACTTTGAAATCAGAAATGAGATTCGTATAGATCTTTTAGTTGAAAGCAGAAGCCTACCTAGTATTGATTCATCTTTCTCAATTATATGTGAGCATCTGATTAGACCAAACTCTTCAAAGTCAGGGCAACTTCCTTTCTTTTCTTTTTTCTTTTTGAAAGGTGGCTTCATTCACCAGATGAAGCTGTTATCTCCCTCCTTCAACCTAAATTGCCAAATTCAATATTGAATGTCATACACCATGTTTAATTTTCATCTCGTTTAGTCAGAAAGTGGTTTCTATCCAACTAAAAGAAGGCAGCTACTTTGCAATGCTGCACTTCCTAGTATATGAAATATGAGTTGTTAATATTTCCAGCCCTCACACCAGCCTGTGGGGACAAGGCAAGCCTGGGTTAGCAATGGCTGTTCATCCTGACATGTGTCACTCTGAACCGTGGCCATTTCACTAGAGACTTCTCAAGTTATTTCTGGGGGGTTCCAGTAATTTGCCGATAGAAGCATAAGAATAAGTATGCCCATTTTATTTGACTGAAGTTTCCTTTTCAATATCTACTCTCTGAAAGCCATGAAGAAGGGGGCTCATGAAACATGCCACTTGAGACCAATTTTCTAAGAACAAGACAATATCATTGAAAAACAATTCTGAAGTCTCCTGATGTCTAGGAGAGAAACATGTATGCAAATAATAAAAGCATAATAGTTAATATGTTCCATACTTGTTGTTAACTACTGAGTTGGCCCCAGACTTGTGAAGAGCCCATGGACAATGAGATTGGACATTTATGCTCCAGTTGATTTTCATTGATTGATTATCAGATCACCAGGCCTTTCTTCCTGGTCTTTCTTAATCTAGAAACTCCAAAGAAACTTATTTAGCATCACAGCAACCTCATGAGCCTCCACTGTCAGATAGAGGGAAGCTGCACTTAAGGTGCAGTGGCCAGAAATCAAATCCAGATTTCCCACCATGAAAGACAAGAACTCCACCAGTGAACCTCCACTGCCCCCATGCTAGAGATATATGAGTGCCACTGATGTCACTGTAGGATAAGCATTGGACTGGTAACAACAAAGTTGGTGGTTCAAACCCACCAGCCACTCTGTGGGAGAAAGAGGAGGCTTTCTGGTCCCATGAAGATTTACAGCCTTGGAAACTCAACACTAAGTGGCCGTGAGTCAGAGTTGACCCAATGGTAGTGGCTTCACTGGATGGTGTGATGGTTAAGCACGTCATTGCTGAATGAAGGGTGAGTGGTTTGAACCCATCAGCCATTCCATAGCAAAAAAATGTGGCATTCTCTAAAGATCTTTGGAAACACTATAGATCAGATCCTTGGAAACTCTATGGATCCGTTCTACTGTGAGTGCAGTTGCTATTGAGAAGGAATTGACTTGGTGACAATGGATTTGGCTTTTACTGGGGTTCAAAGGCAGGAAATAAGGATTCCATATTAGAGTTGAGGTGTCTAAAAAGGAATCTCATCTGGTTCTTACCCTTCTTATCTTTCTTTCTCCTTTTAATTTCTCTCCCAGTTGTAAGTAATTTCTTTATTTCACCATCTCGCTCCAGCTCTTACCTGACTTTCTCTTTCCTGACCTCTAACTCTTCAAATGTCCTTCCCTGTCTAATTTAGCAATAGCCTATTTCACACTCAGTTTTCCACAGAGCATTCATAAGACAGATTTCATCTAAGAATAAAAAGGAACAATTGCAGTTTGTAGATAATTAGGAAAGAGGTTATTTAATCAGAAAAAGGTTTCCAATACTAAAAACATAAATCAGAAACTGAAGAAAGTTCCAGATTAAAAGTATTTTTTTCCCTTAGGTTCTGAACATTCAAATCTGAGTCAGAATTCTGATAAGCTTGTCTTGACATTGAAAGAGAGAAGTACATAGTGTTAGAAGTTATGTGTTAATCCATTAAGCAGCACACAATTTAACATGTTTAATGGATGAATGTAGATTAAGGTTTTATCTGCATGACACTTGTTGTTAGGTGCTGTTGAGTCGGTGACCTTGTGTGCATCATGGTGGCCTTACAAACATCACAATGAAATGTTGCCTGGTCCTACACCATCCTCACAGTCTTTTGCTGTATTTGAGCACATGGTTGCAACCACTGTGTCAGTCCATTTCATTGGGGTCTTCCTCTTTTTTTTGCTGTCCCTCTACTTTACCAAGTATGAAGACTTCAGGGACTGGTCCTTCCTGGTGACATGTCTAATGTATGTGAGAGCAAGTCTCACCATTCTCACTGTTAAAGGAGCAATCTGGTTGTAACTCTTCTAGTCAATTCAATAGGTTTTTATTTCTAATATTGTCTTAAATTCAGACTAGAAACAGTTATTTGTTATTTTCCTTATAACAGCATCCATCCTTACAGGAGAAATTCCTGTTCTACACACAAATTAAAGCTTAATCATATCATTTATTTTTTGATCTCAGAAGCTCTCTGGCTATGTCTTATCTTCATAGATTTTTAGAGTTGGAATGGGCTAGCCAGATCATCTAGTCCAGTCATTTTGTTTCATAATGAGGAAATCAGGATCCAAAAAAAAATAAAATATTGGTAAGGTTTCACTGTACTGAGTGTTTTCAGTGGTGGTGCCACATTTAACTCTCCTGAGGAGCTTTTACAATTTAGATGTCCAGAGGCTTGAACTGGTTTTGGATGTAATATACATAGTCTTGAGTTTAGAATGGGGTATTGGTATTATTTCAAAGCTCCCAGATTATTCTAATACTACTGCTCTGCACTCTGCCACCTTGTTTAACCAAAAAACCAAACCCATTGCCCTCGAGTCAGTTCCTTCTTGTTGTGAAGTGCCATTGAGTCAGTTCCAACCCATAAGAACCCTATATAGGGTTTCTGAGGAGCAAGCTGGTGAGTTTGAACTACTGACCTTGCGGTTCAAACGACTTTGCAGTCTGGCGCATTAACCCACAGCACCATTGTCTTCAGGGACTATTCCTTGATGACCTAAATCTTCTAGACAGGGCAGTGGATAGAAAAATGGGAGGATGGGGCAATGAGTTAGAAAGAGTTTGCTGTCTTTATGATGAAGAGATAGCACAAATAGCCAAATGGTCAAGGCAGAAATGCACATGTTAATGGAAAGATATGAAATGCAAAAGGAGACTATTCAAGGAGAGAGACTATTGGATTATTTCAGAGTTCCAATGTCAGATGGACCACTTGGGAAATCTCTATAGTTTTTTAAATCTTTTTTATTCTGAACATAAGATCATAGCGTAGTGGTTACGAATTGGGCTGCGAACCTCAAGGTCAGCAGTTCGAAACTACCAGCTGCTCCACGGGAGAAAGATGAGGCTTTCTGCTCATGTAAAGATTTACAGCCTCGGAAACC